ATAATAAATAATAATATATGTATATTATTTCTATATACAACATACTTAATTTTTAATTCACTGCTACATACTAGTAAATATACTCATTTACTGAGTAATATACATTTATGGTAATGTATACAAAAAATCGACAGATAATACCGATTTGATACATCGAAAATTACTACAAAGTCGAATATCGTAAGATCGATAATTTCGATTAATCGATCGTTCAGAAAAGAGCAGAAAAGGAACAGCGTGCAGTGGTTCGCAAAGGTGTTGTGTATTTTTGAGTAAAAGACAAATTAAAACGAAATAAAATTGGAGATGGTTGGTTGTACATAATTTGGACAAAAAATCTAAGTAAAAACCTTAGATTCCCTCTTTCTCGTAGAAGGATGTCGACCATACGGTGACAAGTCCACCCAGATCGGCGGAAAACTACGTCACCAGTGACGGATTCCCCCGAAACTGGGACAAAGTGCAGTGTACTCTGGCATTGCGCTTTACCGGAATCTCTCTCACTCCATGTCCTAGTACTCCCCCTTCCACCCTCCTCCCTCTCGCTCTTTCTCTTACTCTCAGGATTGACCAATCGTCTCGTCATCCTCGAACCCTCGATCGAAACTGACAGGTAAACATCGAAATATTCAGAAACTTGATTGGGTTACTTGTATTTATTGCAGTTTTTAGTATAATATTTATTGTTATTTTATTAAGTATTCACTATTTTATAGTTTATTAGTAGTAATATTTTGTTAGTGTAAACGTTATATGTTATTAAATTAACTTGTAATAACATTGAATGATATATATATATATGATATGTATATATATGTCTCATAAAAATTTGTAACATTACATGTGTATTGTCCTAAACTTATTAAAACAGTACATTGAGATTATAAAAGATAAAGATTCATGCCATTGGAAAAAAGATAAATTAAAATATATTTTTTCCATACTGTAGGTAATCAACAACGAATGGTGCAGGTTCAACAACATAGTTTTTGGAGGGTTCGATATCATGTCAGATGGGGTTGATGCTGGTGGCGGGGAAAACGAGGTAGATTCCCATTCCTGTTCACACGCCGATGTTGGAGAATCTTCAAATCCAAGAGAAGAGGAGAGCTTGGATCCAGATAATGAAGCTGCCTTAAATACTAATTATGATAGTGGCGATGGTGCTGTACCAGCTTTTAGGTCTGTCATCTTCATGTAATTAATTTTTTGTATTTAAAACATTTGCAATAAACGTTTAGATAATCAAGGTCTTAAATAGCGTATCAAAGGATCCATAACGTGTGGACAGGTGTGAAAGGTGTGAAAACTATGAAACTATAAATAAGACAGCATTCTGCGCTCATCAGGATCAATGTCTAGCTAATGCTGAGCCAGGAGAAAGCACAGAAAACATAGAAGCTACTGAAAATGATGGAGATGGAGAAGAAACACATTCTGGAATTCGTTCGCACAGAAAAATGTTTGAATGTGATGTTTGCAATATGCAATTTTCTAATGGAGCTAACATGAGACGACACAAGGTATTAATTAAATTTATTTATATTTAGAATTATTAAAATTTAAGAATTAAATAGTTTTAAAATTATATTACTACAAAGAAAAGTACATTTTACTGATAGATGAGACATACTGGTGTGAAACCATATGAGTGTCGTGTGTGTCAAAAAAGATTTTTTCGTAAGGATCACTTGGCAGAACATTTTACAACACATTCTAAAACTCTGCCATATCACTGTCCAATTTGCAATCGTGGTTTCCAAAGACAAATTGCTATGAGAGCTCATTTTCAAAATGAACATGTTGGTCAGCATGATATGGTCAAATCTTGTCCCTTGTGCAATTATCGTGCAGCAACTATGAAGTGCCTCAGGTTACACTTTTTTAATAGGTTAGTATTTAATTTTGAATAATATTGTATTGCTAATGCTATTATTATATAATTATTATTATTGTAGGCATGGAATAGATCTGGATAATCCAGGACCAAATAGTTCAAGTTCACTGATAAATAGTTGTGCTCCAGGTGAAGCTATGCCTTCTGCTCCTCTTTCAGATAGTGGAGACAGCACTGGGAATCGTTCGGCGGATAATGCAACTCCGCCAATGCATTTTCTAACACCTCACATAGAAATATCAATTCCTTATCCAGAACAAACTGCAAGTCAACGAAATCCAAGTCCTGCTCCTTTAAATGGGGATAGTCCAAATAGTCCTCAAAGTGCAGATAGTAACAGTAATGCTCCAAGTAGTAGTCATCATCAGTTACCTATTAACAGTAGTAGCATTCACAGGTATAGAAAATATTTAAAAAATGAAGATTATTTTACTTTAAGTTTGATTTTAATTCATTTTTTAATTAAGGAGCCTTGGTGGAAGTGAAGAGGCAATTACACCTTCTATTTCATTAATTCCTATTAAACAAGAACCAAACAGCAATGGAACAGAGGAGAATGGAGCAACATCTAGCAATCTTCCATTACCATCTTTGATAAAGGTCTCACCACTAAAATCTCTTCTTCGAGACGATTTACGCCGTAAACTTTCATCTGGTTGTATATTAAACCTTGAGATTTTCAGATATCAGTTACATTTACTTGTAACATTTTACTTCTGAAATATCAATTTTAACAAATTTTTTTGAAACATGGCATTCAAAATTTAAGAATTGATAAATATTAATTAGTAATGTGAAAGTTATGAATTCTTAATTATTAATATACCTTTAATATTCGCTTTAATTGACATATAAAAGTACCACGTATAACAATAAATACTATTTAAAGTAACTATTTTCATATAATTAACATAAGTACAGATAAATTGATTTTGTAATAGGTAATAATAGTGCAAATTCAAATCCTCACTCAAGAGGAGAACCTCCTAGTTCGACGAGGCCCGATCAGCGAAGTAGTGGACTTCAATGCGCTCATTGCAGAATTACCTTCCCTGATCAAACATTGTATTTTCTTCACAAAGGTTGTCATAGTGAAAGCAATCCCTGGAAATGCAACATTTGCGGAGAGCAATGTTGCAACTTATATCAATTCAATTCGCATTTATTAAGCAAGAGTCATCAGTAGTTATTGGAAGAATAACATTCTTTCAAGAGCCCTAGAATCTCGATTATTTAGACATTTATTAAATAGTATGAATAACTTTATCACAATTCATATAAGAGAAATTATGAGCTTGAACCAAAAAAGAATGATATTTTACGCTAAAGCGTATGAATGAAATCTATATCTATTTCAATGTCTAAAATAATATTCTTATTTATTTCAATATCTATAAGCTTAGATATTAATTAATCAGAAATCAAATAATCGAGGTTCAAGGAATAATTTTGGAATCTGGAAAAAGTCGTGCCTTCATTGAAATACCTTTGCCAACGCTCACATTCGTCCGAATCGTGCTAATCTATGATGGTACGAACGATCCGTCCATGGGGCTTTACTAAAACGTATTCCAAAAAGCTCTATTGATAGTTTTAAACCTAGTTACATACATTTAGATAGAAAAAAGCAGTGATTATCAATGAGCTCTTTTTTTCTATTTAAATTCTTTTTACGCACTGTCTTTTATTCAATTTTTGTAAAACTTTTTGTTAAAATTTATTAATTTTTTAATTAAATGAGATATATCTTTATATATCATACTTCAGAATGTTATTAATCTGGTAATTTGCATGTAAAAGGAAATCAAAAATAATCAAGAGAAAGTATCTGGAAACTGAATTTCAATTATTGGTTTATTAGTACGGTGCGAAAAGAGAACCCAACCCTGTCTGTGTATCATTGCATATAAATATATAAATAGAAAATGGAAAGTGGCACCTGAAGTATTGTGTCAGCATAAGAAATATTTTATATAATGATATTTGTACAGAGAAGTATTAAACTATTAAAGAGTATGCAAATAAGAAAGTCGAGGTATCATATTTCAGTGATAAATGTTAATATCGAAATAAATTAT